AGTGTGATGAGGCTGAAGATGCAACTGGCTTTGCCACACATTCAAGGCGTAAAAGACAAGGCCCACTGATAGAAGATATAGTGATTGGTAAGTAACATAAAAGGTGACTGAATCACAGGAAGGGGTTCCAGTTGGATGCATCCCATAATCAAATAATCAATTCATTTTTCATTTCAGTAGTACTCTACACAGCACTAGCTAATAGTGTTGAATTCCAGCTGGTTAATGTTATATGCATAGAGTATGTGCGTATTTATATGACATTTTCGTATGTTAATACTTCAGAACTTGGAACCTAATGCAGCCACCACAACATATAGTACCATAACTCTGTTATAGTTTGTAGTAGGGCTGTCAGTTTTATTCAAACATTGTTCAAAAGTGGTTCATTATTTAAGTGTAAAGACCTTAAATTGCAGTCTATAAATGCAACAGATTGTCTGAAGTAGTTTGCCTCATAATCCATCAGAGGGGCCTATGGTATGCCCTATTGACCTGTCTGTAAACTAAGCTAGTAATGTTGTTTGCTATGAAAATGGAGCTCCTTTCCAAGCAAAGCATGGAAAGGAGCCAATCCGAAAAAGTGACAGCCCTAGTTTGTACACACTGGTTTTGCATGTTTAACCTTAAATCACTTTGACAATTTGTATACTGTCAACAACAAATGAGAAAGAATCTGGGAGAAATACTGCATTACAACAATGCAAACAGAAATCCATTTAGAGAGAAGTCACAAAAAAATATCACAATCAATTCCTCTGCAACTGATAATGGTCTTTTTTTCTACTCATTACTCATTTATTCACGATCATCCCTGCATGTTGTTTATCAGTTTGCTCTGTATTCCATGTTGACTTGCTGTTTTGACACAGCAGGGAGCCTCTCCAAGAGCAGAGCTGCACTGAAAAAACAAATTCTTCTGTCATCTTCATTTACTATATAACATGAGTGTTCCTGACAGATCTGTATTTGGCTAAAGAGAGTCAATACATTAAACAAAACAATGTACATTAAAGAATAAAAGTGTGTTTTGAAAATATTGTAGCACATGTACGAAACCGGAGAAAACAAAAAAGCTCCCTGCAGAGATTGCAGAGCTATCTGAAAAATACATCAATAAAAAACATTAAGCACAATTTTATAAAACATAACGACGACAAAATTAAACATTAGCTAATCTTTCTGTCACTGTTAAACTTCTTTTGGATGTTAGTGCAAATAATCATAGCGCCTTACTGTTCACTGTATGTTAGATCCAGGGGTTCAGTTCATCTGTGGTTTGTCTGATGTCACCGCGATCATCAATGAGAGTGCAGTGTTAATATGTAAGCTCAGCAATGAAGACTGCGAGGGAGCCTGGTTCAGAGACGGCAAAAAGGTTAGTCGTAAAGGTCAAACTCATCATTTTTTTCAGTACTGTGTCAGTGTCTGTCAAGAAAGCGAATTATGGTGGCCTAGGAATCTAAGGTCACTTTTACACTTGTAGTTTGGATCATTTGGCCCAAGGGGGGAAAAAATGATACACTGTTTTCTTTTAGTTATGGTGCGGTTCATGTTCACACTGACCTTTTACAAACAAACTTGTAAGCATTTAGGCTGACAGATAACTGGGCAGTTTTGGTAACACCACCTTGCATCATCCAATATTGGTCACTGACACTAAGTCAGTTAGCACCTTTATAAGTATATTTATCTTTTCTGGTGTCACAAAAAGCACAAAAAGAAATAAGTGATTATGAACATTATTAGTTATTATTATTAGACTGTAACTGCACTTTGTTTATCAATTCAAGGATATTCTAGGCTATACAGTGCAGACAGATCAGGTGATTGCTTTCTTAACAGTTCACCATAAGTAGGTGGATTCAACCGTAGTTTAACTACTAAATTCATGCCAAAAATCACATATCTGCTTCTCACAGTCCTTAGATTGATCTGCTTTGCTTTGAGACTACAAATGAACCACACCAACTTCTTCTCGAAAGCAGGCAGAGACCCTCCTTTTCAGGCAGTCTGTCTCGTTGTTTAGTTCAACAGCTTTCACACTAGACTAAATGAACCACATTAAAACAGTAAACACACTAGAGTTAATTTGCCAGGGACCTTAGTTGAATGCCATCCCTTTTTTCTCATCTCATGTCTCTGTTAAAAATATATATATTATAAATGTTAAGTTAATAATGTAAACAAACATTTTATTGATTGGGAATTTGTTATCCACTGATGGTAATTTCAACAGATGTCATATACTATGTGTTCATCTATGATGCACTTAAAACATTTGGCAGATGTTTTGATTTCTTTGGGCCAGTTTGGGACACAGCACAGCTGGGCACAAAGCCCTCTGGGCCATGCACTGTTACTGATTTCAATAACAAAATAACTCACAGTTGCTACATTTGTTTATTTTCATCTTTCTTCCCCTTTTCCTATCAGATATCCCCAGATGACGATATCACTATCACTAACGATGGTGCAATCCATCAATTAGTCATAATCAGGTGCAGGGAAGAGCACTCTGGGAAATACCGTTTTGAGGCAGATGGTCGTAAAACAGAGGCGATGATCAACGTCAAAGGTTTGAGAGTTTGTCACAGCCACTGGTCAAAATCAGACTACAGCAAAATACCATATAAACACTGCACTGACCCTAACTGGCCTCTTTTTTCAGATCCCCCAAGGTTTGACCCTAAAGACATCAGTGCGTTCACTGAGCCTGTGAAAGTTAAAGTGGGGCAAAATGCCATTTTTAAACTGCATTTTGTTGGCCATGAACCCATAAAGATTCAGTGGTACAAAGAGGGAGAAGAGCTCCAAGATGACAACAATACAAAGATTGAGAAATCTGCAAGTCACAGCCGCTTGCTCCTGAGCAGGTGCCAGAGGAAGGACACAGGAGAGATCAAGATCAAGCTCAAGAACGAACATGGCTTCACTGAGGCAATTTCACAGCTAATTGTGCTTGGTGAGGACAATGTAGGAATTTAACAAAGGAAAATCTATCACCCACATATTGTTTTTGTATGCTCTAAATATAACAACAATAAAACTGTCAAATCAGTTGAAAGGAAATCATTAACATCTAACTCCTTAAAGAAAATTACCATCTTTATACATGCCAAATGATGTGTTTTGTGCAGCAACCTGAGCAGGAAGAACTACTTAATTCTTATAAAATCTGCAAACAGCAGTATCCTTAAATGCTTCATAGCTCATGTGGATAAAGGTAAAAAATAAATATAAATCAGGCCAGTTTCTTCTCTAGCAGGTGAAAAGAGTGCCACATTTTACTGATCCCATCTGTGACAGGACATATTTAGGTACTCAAATGCAGCTCTCAAACTGCCATACTACTGACTAAAAAAAAAAAAAAAAAAATCAAGATTGGCTATTGTTCTTCTTGAAGCAGAATCCCAGGTTGTGATATGTGACAGGTTAAAGATGTGTTTTGGAAATATATTTCAGAGCTTGACAAAAGTTATTGTGTTTAAACCTCTGCTACATCTGCCACCACTGCCAGCATCACAACTGTCAAATTCCACCATGATTATCTCTCAGCGGAAATACTGTTTTCCTAATATAAATGCAGCGTTCGCCTTTTCACATGTAAAAAGTTAGGAAGGGTTTTCAAACTTTAAATTACCCTGTTTTTTGTTTGTTTCAGATAAACCTACTTCACCCCTGGGCCCTGCAGAGGTAACAGAGAGTTCAGCTATATGTATTGAATTTAGGTGGAGGCCTCCAAAGGATGATGGTGGCTCACCAGTGATTAACTACATAATGGAGCGACAGCAAGTAGGACGCAACACCTGGAAGAAAATAGGGGAAATCCCAGGTGTGCCCAGCTACCGCGATACAGATGTGGACCATGGCCGGAAATATTGTTACCGTATTCGGGCAGTGACTGCGGAGGGTACAAGTGAAGTGATGGAGACTGATGATATGCAAGCCGGCACACTCGGTGAGTCAAACTGCGATGTCTGTCAGGTCAGTATGCCCTATGCCTCCTACTGTGTCTCAAAGACAGGGAAACCAAAGGGTAAACTGCATCTACTGAGATTTCACTTTTTGTTAAATGTCAATAATGACACCTATTTGTGGTGTTTCCTTCTTACGTGTTGTCCAACCATTACTTATTGAATATTAAGAGTTTTATGGGTCTACTGAAGAGGTATACTACATACCTAGATAGGTCACAAGTCTATCACAGGCCTAACACGCATAGACAAACATATTTCACACCTCTGGATAATAAATTCAAGTCTTCATCTCACTCAACCTGCATGTAAGAGAAACCAGAGCTCCCAACGAAGCAAGGAGAGAACTTGTAACTGAATACATAAAGGTCAGCTGACAGGTGACAAGCTGGGACAGTCTTGCTGTGAGGGTACGGAGCCAACCACTGAGCCATCAAGATGCACAATTTGTATTATGTAGATCTTATTGTTTAATCGGCGCTGTTCCTCAGAACACAACATGCTGATAAACAAACCACTGACAATGACTGACAATAACTCTAAAATTCCCCCACAATACCAAAAAGATGATGATGGGACATGTCAAACAACAAACCAATACACTGCACTTATTTTCATTGTCCAAAAATGCACCAAAGACAGCAACCTTTGGACTAAAAGTAAGCCAATCCTCTGTACAGTTTAGAAAACCTTGCAAGCAGATACCTTCGGCTGAGGCCAAAAGACATCAAATTCCTTCGCAGATTTCAGAGTCCACTATGTTCATTGTGTTTGAGGTGTATAAATCTGTCACACACAGAAAGTGTCATCTATTTAAGCCTTTGTGATGACACAACAGCCAACTAATAAAAAGCCAGTTTAGCGGCTGCGTACTGAAAAAGAATAATGGCTTGCACTTACTGATTGAAGTCATCCTTCATTGTGTGTTGTTGAAGATCTTCATTTGGAGACCCTCAGTCTCTCCAGACTCCACAGAAACATTATCCAGAGTTAAAGGTCATCCTTTAGAAGTCTGAAAAAGTTGCTGTTGGATAACAGTAACATTGAGTTTGGATAGCAGAATACTTTATTGCTGGCATCTTTAATCAACTAATCAATCTGCAGATCAACTAAAATATATATTTTTTTCAATTAAATGTAGGATTAAGTTAGATATTTGTCACAAGTGAACAAAAGGTATAAATTACAAAAACTGCAAAGAATTCACACGAATTAATGGAGTTAGTAGCATTGATGTATTAACTAAATTTGTTTTTATAGTAATTTATCTGGTTAGCAATGTAATTAATTGCAATTTGGCTGACAAAGTTAACTGCTAATGATAGCAAGTTAACAAGTTAACTAGTAGTGTATACAGTATACTTTAACATTTGTTAGTTAGTTAACATTACATAAGGCCTATGTTTGTTTTTGTAGTTATTAGTTACAGATCCGACACAAAACCCATGCTAACAAACTGGAGATAAACAAAGAGAGAGAATTGGGAAATAAAATAAAAACAATTGGTGTAAATTAGCCAGTTTGTTTCATGTAAAAACCGTTGTTATATTTGAAAGCAAAAACGGTTAATTTTTCCCTTTTTTAAACCAAACTTTGAAAACACCCCACAGGTCGTTTGACGTTAACTTACCGCTGTTTTCAGGATAAATTCGTTAAATAAGTTTCCTCAAAGACGTTTATTGACCGGTAATAAAATGTATCCGTCTGCTGAGCAGTAAACAGTTTTTAGGCTCATTTTGAAGCTCATTTCCCAAGTTGTAACTGTGGGTGGCCGCAAAAGCAGACCCGCACAGAGCGCCTGTATCACACAGGGCAGCCCCATTATGGTGCAAGGCAGGTGTGTAATGTGCCAATTAAGCGCCTGTGCAGCAAATAAACAAATATCCGAACACATGTTTAATCAGCAACTCGCATTCAGATCTCATTTACAAGTCAGACCTACAGAGTAAAAATAGAGCAGAATAATAAAAAAGCAAATATTAGATTAAACATTAATTTGAGCAACAGCATGACAAAATCAAAATAATTACATACAAAATGTCCATGACATAGCAAATATCTGCAGCAACTGGTGAATGTATCTTTCACAAACATTTCTGAATCCAAAAGGTACTGTAGTCTTTTTTTGTTGTTGTGACATGTCAAAATGATCAGACCTATCATCAGCGGTTTCAGTGTCATTACTGCCCCCTGCTGATCTCCATTACTGGTTGCTACTGGTCTACACCGTTCTCTCTCGTGCACTCTGTGTCACAAAATCAAGTCAACTGGATTTTTTCTCTCTCTCCTGAATAACATCCCAGAAGTCAAATTCAATGTCTAATAATATTCTGGGCAAAAGACTTAATGGATCAATCAAATATAATATTTTTGTTGATTTAATTTTCAAACTGCAGTTCTATAAAAAGCAAAGGATTTACCATAAGAGTGCAAATCAACACAAAACACAGCACAGATGTCAAAGCAGTTTAGATTATTTGTTTAACATGGCCTGAATGTAACTGAATTCTTACACTGGGGTATCATATTGGTATACTATTATTCATCAGTTCAGTCTCTCTGACTACAGCCTTAACCAGCAATGCCTGTTTTGTTTCTGCATGCTTCAGCTTTTCCAGGCCCTCCAGCACCTCCACAGGTGGTCAGCGCCTCTGACGACTGCATCAACATTTCCTGGGCTTCACCAAGTAACCGAGGAGGTTCACGTATCCTCGGCTATATTTTAGAGAAACGCAAGAAGGGGAGTAACCTCTGGACCGTTGTCAATGCCATGGATGAACTAATAAAAGGTCTGCAGTTTTATTTGACTGTACTCAATCTGTTGGGATTGAAGACCATGACACTGATGTTGTTGTTGTTGTTGTTGTTGTTGTTGTTTGTCTGAAATGACTTCCAGAGAAGAAATATGCTGTGAAAGATGTTGTGGCAGGTATGGAATATGAATTCAGGGTTACTGCCATAAACCTCTCAGGAGCTGGTGAATTTAGCAGCCCGTCAGAGTTTGTTTTTGCACGGGATCCCAAGAGTAAGTGTTGCAACGCATCAATAAACAATATCTTAAAATAATGTTATAAATTATTAGTTTATGAATGAAATATATATTTATTATTGCTGATTTTAATAAAACATCTCATATATTGTATACTGATTAAATTTACATATTTAACATTTGGTATTTTAATGTCATGTACCCCAGAGCCTCCTGGAAAAGTCACAAACCTGAAGGTGACAGAAACTTCTTATTCCCACTTGGTCCTGACTTGGACCAAACCTGAGGATAAACCAGGCATACAGGATGAAGCAAAGGGATATTTTGTTGAGATTCGGCAGGCAGAGACCATTGAATGGTCCCGCTGTAATACCACCCCCATCATCACGACTTCATTCAGTGTGAAAGGCCTTAAGTCCATGGATATGTACTGGGTGAGAGTGATTGCGACTAATGATGGAGGAGAGAGCACTCCAGCGGAGTTGGCCAACTATGTCCTTGCAATGCCCTCGCCTGGTATGTCAACTCTAAAGAATTTAAGGAACAATATGTTGCTTGTTAGTTGTAGCTACACATTAACATTTTGAAGACAGCTTAAAGTCCACTCAGATCAGTATGGCGTTTTATGTTAACAGCAATATTTTCAGGGTACTAAATCACTGATCATTCATTCTTATTCTTTAAAATTAGCAACTCTGGCCATAGAACAACACATAACGTGTATATATGTTTTTAGGTTTACTGTAAGAAACGTCTAAAGTTAAATATTGTCCAAGCACTTTTAATTGTTTTTGTTCATTATTCTAGTGAGGCCAAAGTTCACCAACCACAAGATGAAGAGTTTTATGGTGGTGAGGGCAGGAAACTCTGTCAGAATCACAGTGAACTTTGAGGTGAGATTTTTATTTGAGCTTTATTTTTGATAAATGAGGCCAACCGTTGTTTCACAAACCCATTAGGGGAACTCAAAGAATGCTATATTCAGAGTTCAAATAGTCAAGATATTACTAATGTTCTTTTTTACAGGCCTCCCCACGGCCAGATATTATATGGCTAAAGGACAATGTGCCAGTAACAAAGCGAGTTACAATCAGTAACTCTGACGGATCATCCCAGCTGCTGATCCCCTCCTCTGAGCGCTCTGATTCTGGCATCTACTCCATTTTGGTGAAAAATCTTGCAGGACAGGAGACATTTAGTACAGAGGTCAGAGTCACAGGTAAAACTAAAATGAAGATATATTTTGTTTTGCCACATGAATGTCAGATACGTGTGTTAATGGATCAGCCAGTAAAACCGATTGTGGTTACAGATGATCCAAAGCCTCCTGGACCGGTAGAACTGGAGGAAAACGTCCCTGGCACAGTGACAGTGATCTGGGAGCCTTCTCCTGATGAGAAGCGTGATGACCGCCTCCACTACACAGTGTCCAAACTGGACTCTGCCAAACGCACGTGGACCACAGTGGCTGACAGACTCTTCAATAACAAGTTCACAGTTAGCAATATCATGCACGGGAGGGAATATAATTTCCGGGTTTATGCCAAAAACGACATGGGAATATCTGCACCCTCAGAGTCACCAACCTGGGGGACGGAGAAGAAGAAAGGTGTGTTTATGCATCTTAAACAACCTCAAATGCCATATAGTCAGTTCTTTAAGAAAAATATAATCTCATATTGTATCTCCTTTCTTGTAGAAAAGTTTGTGCTGAGTACACCGACCAGAAAGGACTGTGATTTGCGATGCGCCCCAACCATTGTTGTGCCTTTGAAGCTTCACACTGCACCAAAAGGCTATGAATGCTACATGAGCTGTGCAGTGACGGGAAATCCCAAACCTCGTGTCACTTGGTATCGAAATCACATCAGCCTAAACACTAACGCCAATTATTACATCTCCAACACGTGTGGAGTTTGCTCCATGTTGATTCTCCGCGTAGGCCCCAAAGACATGGGAGAGTACACAGTCACTGCAGAGAACGCCCTCGGACGTGCTGAATGCTCCACCAGCCTCAGTGTCAGAGGTGAGAGAGAAACACATCTGCACTTTAATTCAAATGATAAAAGAAACAGACTTAATGATGCTAAATCATTTCATCTTTCTTCCATACAGAGTGAAGACTGTAAGAGCACCATAATGTGAGCAGTATTTATTTTAAGGTTTAGAAATCTAATTCATGATGTTTGAATTAAAGTGGTTGTGCTACTTGGATGTAATGCACCAGTTGCAATGAGAAAAAGATGGGATTTAATATTTATTGGACTACTGAAATTAAAATAAAAGTATTTCTCAATTAAAATATTGCACTCCTGATTTTTTTGAACCCCTGGAATACTGCACAAATATTACAGCAATATATACCTTTTTCACAGTAGACATTCTGACTTTTGGTCATTATAGGAAAATCACAGGTGTTACTAATGACAGTAACATTGTCAGTGTGACAGTGAAGCAGCATGCACAATACCAGGACCCTAAAACCAAAGCAGCTCAAATGTTTCATGTAGAAAAATACTGTAAAGCACATTGTTTGTATTAATGTTATATTATTTACTATATATTTAAGCCACACTTGTTGGGAAACTATAAAGCAAACCTTTTGACATAAATAATGTAACAAACATCTCAGGGGCTATAGATTGATTTGGTCTTTAGGAGCATATTTTAAATTGCCCTGCATACCGATACAGGTGTTTTCAATTACCCCAGCTGATTAGACCTCTAGATTTAGTGGCATCTAGCAGTGTAGTTCCAGTGTCCTTCCTTGTTTCACCCTCCCTTCTAGAGCAGAAAGAAGTCACTATGGTGGCTGAATCACCCCTATCTGGAGCGAGTTTGTTCTTTCGTCCCTTCTGGACTACTGTAGAAACATGGCAGTTCACCATGGTGGACTGCATGGAAGGTGACCTGTGCAGATAGGTAGAAAGGTCTGTAGAAGATAACAAAAACATAACAATTACTTTATTCCGGTGATTATACGCTAATGTAAACATACCTATGAATATGATATTCCATTTCAGCTAATATACTATCTGAAATGTTATACAGTGGACCTTTAAGTTGGGTGGAGCTAAAGGAACTGTGTTATGCCACTAACCTCTATTTGCTAGTCACATTACACTTCAGTACAGCGCATATTTGCTCATGTTCACTTATGTTTAAGTCCATGCGATGCATGACTTCAAACATGCGGTTTCCAGACAGCAGTTCAGAGTTCACCTTTGTTCAACTTTGAACATGCAGATGTGTATGATCAGCCAATAGAAACACTGATGCTCTATGTTTGGAAATTGAGAAGTTAATTATTACACAACCAGCTTACAAACTGCAGGAACACCTATGTGTAGGTGGACTATAGAAATAACCTTAGTATCACTTCCATCTGCCTAATGCAGATTTAGCTTTGGCAGCATGGTGATGCAGTGGAGCCTCACAGCAAAAAGGTTCTGGGTTCTACCTGTGCCCCCATGGGTCTAAATTGTCTTTAAGTGTGAAAGTGAGTGGTTGTCAGCCTATATGTGGCAATACTAGCAACCTGTCCAGGGTGTACCCACCTATTGCCCCAATGTGAGCTGGTCACAACCCTGCAAAGGATAATGGATGGATGAATGTTTATTTACACTAATGCAAGCAGCAACAAAACAGATTACACAAGTAAAGCTGATATATAAGTAAGACAAAAAACAATTAATTAGACCACATTATAACAAGATTTAACCAGTACAGAATTCTGATGGAATGTAAGAAAGTAGCAAAAGCCAAGAAGATGTTACCATCTTAGAGGCTGAGCTTACCTTTAATATAGATTTGCCCTTTTCACAGACTGTGCATGCCACCGAATATGCCAGGCTCATAGTTACAATTTAAAACTTAGCTGTGTCATTAGTACAAAGGAAGCTCGCAGGTTATCTGATTGATAAGGTCACAATAAATTAATCTTAGTCAGCCATGGGGGCTTTCTGTAATGTCACGTCATCCTAACCCACAGTGACCAATGGCAGAAGTGTGCAATCGCTGCAGGCCACATGCAGCTCTGGCCTGCAGTAAAAAATAGCGCACAGCAGCCGGACGTGTAGTTTTGCCATTAGATGACAGCAGCGCACATGGTGGTGGAGACTCAGCTGCCCACCCCCCACCAACCCACCAACCCTCCAACCCTCCAACCCTACTCCTCCTTCCTCTTCCTGAATGGACGAACACGCTACCTTACGGTCCACGCCTCCCTGTGGTCTCATCTCCTGCTCTGCCTCTTCATCAAGATCTCGCTTCAGCCTCTCGGTACTTTATTGAGCGGTGATTGAAACCGAGTCGATTTGCGCAGCGCCCGGAGCTTTGCGGAGTAAAATCACAGCTCGCACTTCGGTCAACGCTTTTTTTGACCCACCGGGCTCCTTGAATATCACCTCTCTGCCTATCCAGAACATTGTGTCCTTTTGTGGGGAAAATGACTGCCAAGCATCGGAAAGGGAAAGGCAACCACAAACATGAAGATAACTTTTTCAAGAATGATGTTGTGGAGTCCGAAGTTCGCTCTGGGGCGAATAATTACGCTCTCCTCTTGGTTTTATTTCTGATGATTGTAATAGGCGGTGCCACTGGCGCATGGTTCTGTCTCCAGCAGCACCAAACTTTAACCTACTTAACAGACAATCTCATGGGCATGCAGATGAAAATAGTGAAACTACAGTCCTCCCACGAAGAAATGCGACAGTCAAGCAATAAGGTAAGGGATTAATGAAATAAATAAATAAGCATTTCCCTTTGAAGTGATTGATCACCTGAGTTTGCAGCCATCAGGAGCACAAGGCGCCTCCTGTGCTGGCCTATATCATATTACGAAAAGAGTATAAATCATTTCATATTATAATTTACACACACTCTTGCACACATTTAAGAAAGGGCCTCACCACATGTCAACAGAAAGCATTACCAGTGAGGAAAGTTAAGACCTGCAGGCCTCTATCAGATTTCAAAATGCCAAGAGCCCCACTGGAGTGAGTACAAAACGCTGCTATTTCTAACATCCACACAGCTGCCGACGTTTGTAATGAGGATTATTCTTGACCTACTATCGCAGGAGCACTGACTTTATTACTCACTTAAATGCAGCAAATCCATATCAGTATCATAGTTCTCTGTGGAAAATGTCTGTGGTTTGATGCCAGTCAAGAACATGCTCTCAGAGCTGTGCAGAGGATGCTGCCAAAATAATAATAAACAAGACAGAAGTGTGCCAGGGCTAAATTTAGTCTGTGATTTTGATACTGAACACCAGTTCAGAGGCTGTTTACAGGTGTTTGGAAAGATTATAGGAGAACAGAGAGTGATGATTGTTTCATCTGTATTTTTGGAAAAAATTACAGAATGTCTAAATACTGTACTAGTTTCCTGTGTTAGTCCTACTTTAAGAAACTGTTATTTTCCTATAGTTTTATGTATCTGCATGAATGAACAGACCCTGTTATGTCAATGCAAACTGAGGTTCATGGCTGCCTTGAGCTATATTTCTCTTTACCTGTGAAGTGCATAGTATTCCGACTATTCTTATGTCGCTGCAGGCTCTAGGGAGATGAGCAAGAGAGGCACTTAACCAAAACAAATGCACTCCTCTCACTCCTTCTGTCATGCAACTCCACCTTTGGTCAAGCCAAGCCTATGTGGCAAACACTTTGCATGAGAACAGCTCTGCTAGCTCAGTCTTGTTACAGAAATATTTCCTGTACCAGCAGTAAATGTTTTTTTCTGACTCATGTCCTTGTCTCTGCACTTTCAAAACATTACTAACCCATTTCTTCTTTATGCACATTCAGTATTTAGTTTGTTTCTGTAACTTATTGCAAGGATATAAAGTTTTACTGAGTTGTCCATGCATTATCAAACTATTCTGATTGGTTGTTTGGATCTGGTGTTTGGACGACTAGTTAGAGGAACTCGGGAAGCAATAGGTGCAATATCTTTTCTTGGGGCATTTGATTGACTGAAAAGAATTGTGATTTAATGGGAAATTAAACAGATTCCACCTAAATGATTATACAGCCCATGTCTACATCATATGGACATATATATCCTGATATTGTAGGGGAAATGTAGTTATTTCAATATAAAAGCATCCTTGGTTTTGCTCCACTACACCAGCTCAGTGAGAATGACAACACCACTTCTGTATGTCTCGTTGCAGCAGCAGTTTTCGGAGAATCTGGAGACCCGCCTGAATGCCCTGGAGGAGTCTTATGCACTGGCCCAGAAACAGGTGGGAATGGCCTTAGCTACAGCTGAACAGCTCAGGACGTCTGACCTCCCTGCTCAGGTGCTATCGCTCAACACTGAGATGAAAGCCCGCCTGGCAGAGATGCAGCAGGCCACCGTGTCTTTGGAGCAACTGAGCCAGCTGCAGACCATGCTGAAGGGGAAGAGTGAGGAGTTTGAGGGTGTCAGGATTCAAGTGGAGGGCCTGGCCACACTGAGTTCTGAGCTGTCCCAGAAGGTTGAGGTCTTGACAGGGAGCCTGGGAGAAGCGGAATCTAAGCTGGAGGAGAGAGGTGGACAGGTTGCCACACTGAGTGCCACCCTGGATGGACAGGTCGCCGAGGTGCTCAGACTGAAGGCGCAGCTGGACACCTACCAGACTCAGCTCGAGTCCAGCACACTGGAGATGGCTACTGTCAGGTAGGTTGTGGAAAAAGCAGCAGCTTTTGGAGCTGTTGGAGAAAATAGCTCACCTCCTCTGACCCATAGTTTATGTTGACTTTGTCAAAGCCCTGTTAGCTGCCACTGTCTGCGTCTGTGTTACCCAGGACCCAGGGTGTCTGTAGGCCTCATATTCACATTGTAAGATTGCCTTGATCTGTATAAACATTTCTATTGTATTGGTGATTTTTGGACCTAAATGGTTTGCGTAAAACTTACTTTGTAAGTCGGCACTCTTTGAAGCTTATACAAACATCATGGAAATGTGGTTCACAGGCTATAGTTGCGGATGTCAGACTTAAAGAAAGCAATGTAATTAAGCCATGGGTGCTCTTTGCTAGAGATCTTCACTTCAAAACTCTTACTGTGAGTGTCTTCTGTCTTTCAGAGAGTTGCTTGAAAGTGAACAGTCCCAGCGGCTCCAGCAGGCCAATGTTGAGGAACAGCTCAATACGGTACGTCTGAGTCTTCAGGATCAGAACTCAGCAGCCCGTAGTCTGCACTCTGGACTCAGGGCTCAGCTGGAGAACATACAGAAGCAGGTTACCCAGGTAACACAGGCAACACGCAAGCCAATCAGATTCAGCCTGATAATCAGACGGAATTGCCATTTTGTTTCCCTTGATTCATCGGTCAAAGTCACGCTCTCTTGAATCACTGAACAAAGCAACATGTGTGTTCCAGTTCAGAGGTCCGTAACCAGACTAAATCACATTTATAGGTTATAGATAGAAGACTGCCACAAAGACGTTTTCAAAAAGACCATTTTAGAAGCCCTCGTGTATCATTAGATTTGACTTTAACTATAATGGCAGATTATGCCTGACATGCCTTAACACACATACTGTCAGCGCACATGGTCTCTTTACTATTTCTGTTCACTTTGTGCCCATAGGGAACCATAATGAGATTTTCATCTCAGTAATTTGAAGGAGCTAATAGCCTGGCGTGGATTCTCAGATGGATTCTACAGTCACATTCATACACTATAGATACTTGTCACATGCTGTTACCGAGACACCTGGATGTCCAGCTAGCAGACCTGTAAATGATTTGCTGTCCAAACTCCACTCTACTATGAACTAATATTAAGTATCGTATCGCTTTCCTCATATTAGCTGGTGGGAGAAACTCAACCTCCTGCTGAGCCTGAGGAACAGACAGAGACAGAGGAAGCCGAAGGAGAGGCAGCTGCTGCAACTGTAGAAGCAGAAGGAGAGGCACTTCCTGCAGATTCAGAAGTAGAAGAAGAGGCACTTCCTGCAGAGGTAGAAGTAGAAGAAAAGGCACTTCCTGCAGATTCAGAAGTAGAAGAAGAGGCACTTCCTGGTTAAGAAGAAATAGGGCAAAACTTCCCTTGTAGAAAGAGAAGGGCACTTTCCTGTTTAGAAGGAAAAAGGAGGGGCATTCTTGGTTAGAAGAAGAAGGCCACTTCCTGTAGAAGAAGAAAGAGGCCACTTCTGTGTTAGAAGAAGAGGCACTTCCTGCAGATGTAGAAGAAGAGGCATCCAACCCAGAAGAAGAGGTAGTGGCAGATGATGTAGAAGAAGAAATGGAAGAAGAGGTAAGTGAAGAAGAAGCAGCTGCACAGGATGAAGCTCCTGTCGAGCAGGAGGACTCTGTGACAGATGAAGCAGCTCCTGCAGAGGAGGTCGAGGCGGTAAAGGAGGAGCAAGATGAGTCTGTTGCCTTATCAGAAGAGGAGGAAGTGGATCCGACACAGATGGCAGAGGGGGGACAAAGCGTAGAAGAGGAAGCAGTTCAGGAAGAGATGGCACTTGAGGAGGAGAAACTTAATGTAGAGGAGGAAGTGTCAGAGAGGGAGCTAGAACAGCAGGATGTCGAAGAAGCTGAAGAGGAGAGCCACAGCGAAGAGGAGGCAGAGGAGGGAGATGAAGAAGGAGATGAACAAATAGAAAATCATGCTTTACTAGAGGATGAATGTAAGTACGAAAATATTGAGAGGACTTTTTATTTTCCCATGAATATTGGATTTATTTATTTTATGACTGCATTGGGTAGAACAAACAAAATCAAATATTGTCATATCCCTCTTAATATTTTCTTGTTTTATGTTTTACAGAGTGCATGTCACCAGAAAGGGATTTAATTCCACACCGGATGCATCCAACAAGAAGAATGGGAACTTTCTCAGTCTAAAGTCACAGTCTACAATATGACATACTGTAGGAAGGCATTATTGATTGCTGTTGTTTAGGTGCACTATTCATTATGTGGTTGCTCTTTGAAAGGCAGACCTAGTCAGAAGAAATCAGTCACTGCGCTGGAGTCGGAGCTGAAACCTGTACCTCAAAATATCAGATGGATATAAAGATAGAAAATTAGTAATTCAGGGTTTACCTGCCAATAACAACCTCAAGAGCCTTAATCCATACAAAGAATGACTGTCTTTCTACGAGCGTTTTCCACTCTTCATAGCACTCTTTTTTTTTTTTTTAATATCAAGGTTATTCTCTGTACTAAACTGGAAAACTAAAAGCCAATGACGTATCAAGAAGCCAATGCATAAACTGTTTATCAATGCACTTGAAGCCATAAGTAATGCCTGTCTTGGTGACATTAAAATATGTTTCTTTTGTCACTGCCTGAAATGTATTGTGAGACAGTGTTTTAGAGGAAAAAAAACCTAACTTAATGTATCCCAGTTGTTTACACAGGCAAAACAGCCGACTTAAGAGCTAGCGAAAAAGGAAAGAAAAGCATATTTGGTAAGATAAATAATAATGAATGTTTTAAAGAGTAGGATAAAAATTTTAGGTTTTATTTTTTAGTTTTTTTTTTTTACTTTTTAATATATCTGTGATTCAGTACTTAAAAACTGGTGGTTTGCTTGAATTAGTTTGGCTCATTAGATTTATTTTGCATTTTTGTAACTGATTATAATTCCAGCCAGACAGAACACACCTGTAGTATTGTAAGATACAGTGGTCTAAAAGACATTCTACAGCTTTAATACCTTTTTATCTAAAAGTACATTATTTAGTCAGTTTGGACTATAAAGTAGTGTTGCTGTGTGTCTTTAATGATTAACAGCTGATATTCTATGCATTATTGTCACTACTATTACTGTTTGGACTGACTTAGGAAAATAAAGCAGTTGTTTGTAACTATCCGAAGAGCTCACTAAAACACCTCAGACTAATTCCTCTCCTGATGGATGGACAGCTATTGCAGTGTTGAACAGCATCTATATTTTGAGGGATATTTTCACAAGCAAGTCATTTTCATCCAAAACAATTATAACTAAACTGGCAACAGCAAATCAAGATCAATGTAATTGTGCTGTGCTAACATATTCTGTCAAAAGAAAACTGACTAAAGTAGCTAGTTTTGTAGTAGTTTCCACTTGAATGGCTAGACCAGTCCCTTGACTAAACAGTACCAAAATGTCATAGCTGAAATACACATGATCTGCCACATATGATCCAAACAAAAGGACTATGTTATGCTTCAGAGTCTTGACAAGAGCTTCTAGATTTAGGTTCCAACAGAAGTTTTCCAGCAGCACATGGACCCTAAGCATGGATCGAAACTATGCCAGGAAATCTGACGGAGGAGCGAGGAGTGCTGCCAACCCCACTAAACATTGTCTGGAGACAGAAATAAAGGGCAAAATATAAGGTCAAATCACAAGACTGTGTGTCTGAGATGATCTAAAAAAAAAAATGTAATAATGTGAACAATGTATTCAAGCTGTGATTTGAAGAATTAACATATCAAACATTGATATCAAATATGTTATAAAATTACTTCTTTGGAGACATGACATGTTTGTGTAGTCATGCCTCACAAATGTGGAATAAGTTTCTGATAAGTGATTCAACAGAGTTCTTGGTAGTATAGTAAGACTTTTGGACATCACTACATTTTTACTAAGACTGATACTCACTTTTACAAAATGCACTGTTTTGCGTATGGCACTTCTCACATTGTCATGTTTCTGAAATAAACCCTGGTTCTTTCACTTTTGTATACTAGACTATGTGCTGTTGTGTCAGGCACAATTATTATCACATTACATTAACAGTGCTGGAAGCTGGGTGAAAGTAGCTGTCTCATTTCCTATCTACCTGGATAATTTATTAGGATTAGCATGAGCAAGTCCACAAATTGTATAAAGAAGCTTTTAACTGTGAGTTAATACTGTCTTTATCTCAGCCCCATGCTGTCTTGTTAAAGGATATTTTTCTTATTATCAACAAATCCGATGAGAATATCACATCCAAACAGAATTTGTCTTCAGCAGGAAGCAATGGGCTGAAAGCCATATCAGGCTGGGGCTACATTGTTTTTGTTTAAAGATTTTATTTTTGTGTGTGTGTGTGTGTTTGTGGCTTTTTCGCCTTTATTGGACAGTAAGTAAAGAAGCAGACAGGAAAATGTTATATATATTTTTTAAATGTTATCCTTAAGTTGTGATGGAAAAACAGCCTGACATTTTTGTTTATCTGTGCATTGTAGCATGTTCAATGTGCATTTTGTATGTGGGGGGAAACAATCTTTCGAGCACTGTAATATACATTTTGTTGAATTTGCACTATTTTGCAGTTGCGAAAAGTAATAATGCACTCAGGTTTTATCAAAACAATGTACTATATTCAGCTTGAACAATGTAAATATCATCCAAAAAAACACGTCAATCTTAAAGTGAGATTGGAGACGTTACACAATTCCTTAGCTCGACCTCACTTAAAGGTCCAGTGTGTAGAAACTGAAAGAAATTAAATGAAATATAATATGCATAACTATGTTTTCATTAGTGTATATTGACCTGAATATACAAATCGTTATGTTTTTGTTTCCTTAGAATGAGGCATTTTAATCTACAGATGTTGCGGCTAGCCTTCCATAGATTCTGCCATGTTTCTACAGTACCAAACCAAACACTGGATGTAGATGGGGTTGCGTTTTTTAGGTAATAAATCCTACACAATGGTCCAAATTTTGGTTGTGACTGAATAAGTCGGTGCCTCCTCTGCACTCTGCAGCGAAGATAGAAATATGTCATCAAATTGTTACCAACTGGCTCGAGGTTGGCAACAAAAAGGGAGGCCACACACAGATATACCAGTCAAAAAGTAATTTATTTAATTCAAAATTCAAACATATCAACTAAATATATATCAGATATCAGTCATATCAGTAATGTTAGAGGTGTGTGGTTGAGTGAAATGTGGTGTAATGCAGCAAACCAAACAAAGACAAGGGCTGAGTGCCTGTGCTGTAGGCCAGGCTGAGAGAGAGAGTGAAACTCCCAGAAGGGCAGTCTTCTCTAAGTTTCTGAAAGCTACACACACATGGGCAGGTAAGGCAGGTGACCCTCCCTGTGTGTATACTGAAACTATATGTATATATAGCAGAGGCAGACTGCAACACACTTACATGAGTTACTATTACCAGAGTCCAGAAATGTGTTTTCTGCACACATGTTCAACTGAAATGCCTGCATCAGATCTTCGTAGACAGAAAATCTAAATTGATTGTGTGTGCATCTTCCAGATAGGCCGGAAGTCTCTTTCTCTCTCTCTCTC